GAATTCTGTCATAGAATTCTGTCATAGAATTCCGTGCAGAATTGCACTGGTACGTACAATTTTTTTTTAGAATATTGTACAACCCCACCAAAAATAAAAAATTGCGGTATGTTTATTTGTTGCATTACCATTTTTTTTTAACGTATTTTTTTTTGCAAATTCAAATAAAAAAAAAAAAATTAACGACGCTTTTAAACAACTAAATTTCGATGAGTATAAAAATTTCGCAGAAACAAACGAAGCAAACGGAAATTATTTGCTTGGTTACTGTTACGAATTTTGAATTGGGGTTGAAAAGAATGAAAACGAAGCATTCGTTAATTATCAAAAATCCGCAAACCTTGATAATCCAGACGGAATGTATCAAGTTGGTTATTGTTATAATTTAGGAATTGGAGTTGAAGTTCATAAGCAAAAAGGATTCGAAAATTTATTTGAAATCAGCCGAGGCGGTAATTTAAACGGAATTTGGAAAACCTCCTGGTGTTACTATTACTGAATTGGCGTTTAAAAGAATGAAAATAAGTGGGGGGAATGGATTAAAAAGTAATTTTTTTTAATTTTTAGTATTTAAAAATTGAAAATGTTTTATACAATTTTAATAATTAAATTTTTCTTAGAGAGTAAGTATAAAAAAATCTGTTAATTACAATACGTTCATAAATATTAATTAATTAATTGTTTGTTATAATTTAGCCCGTATGTATAAAAAGCATTTATTAATCATTAGAATTTTTAACAGCAAAGCAAGTTCATAAATCAAGAACATAAATACTTATTTACCATTACTATTATGCAATAACTATTATGTAATACCATTCAAATCATTTCATTCGCATTAATCATTCATTCAGTGTGTGAGTATAAAGAACATTTATTAATCATTGGAATTAAAAACAGCAAATCAAGTTCACAAATCAAGAACATAAATACTTTTTGCATTAATTTAGTCAGTAAGTAAAAATCATTTGCATTCGAAATAAGGTTTAAAATAGCATGGCAGATTAAATAATAAAATCAATTTATTATATATTGTAATAATGAAGCGACTCTAACTATGGAAAATGTGCGCATTGTATGAAGATAACACACAACCAGAATGGTGTCTATCATGCGACCCTGACATAGAAACAACAAGGTGGACAAATAGAAATAGAGATATTGATGATTGCATAAAAAAGTTCCAACTTAGAACTTTTGCATACGGTGATATAATCGAATGGATTCCATATGACAAATTAATTAATACAGAAAAAATAGGCGAAGGAGGATTCAGCTCAGTATATTCAGCAATCTGGTTGGATGGTATACGAAAAATCGATGGCGATGAATTTAATTATGAAAGATCATGTGAAGCTTCCAGCATCGTTGCCATGAAGACTTTGTCTGGTTCTTTAAAAGAAGTAAGTTAAATCTACTTATTCAATAATTTATTAAATAAAATAATGAACTAATTTATCTTTATTTACTCAATTATAAAGTTTGAGAATCATATAACATGTTGATTATTTGGTATTAGACTTAAAATATACGAATTAACTCAAAACATCGAAAATGAATACTTGATGGTATTTCAATACGCTGATAATGGAAGTGTTCACAAGTTTTTAAGAAAAAATTTTCGTGATATTACCTGGCAAACTAAATTGAAACTACTTTTTGATATTTCATCGGATTTATATAATATTCACAGAGCAGGCTATCTTCACGAAGACTTTCATAGTGGTAATATTTTACAAAATGAAGGCATCAGTAAAAACACGCAGTCTTATATCACAGATCTAGGATTGTTTAAAAAGGCAAATGAAAATGATTCAAAAGGTGATATCTATGGTGTTTTGCCTTATATTGCTCCTGAGGTTTTATTAGGTCAAAAGCTCACGAAAGCTGCCGATATTTACGGCTTCGGTGCCATCATGTCAGAGATGTCAACTGGTCAAAGAACTTTTGATGGTCATGAATTTAATATGGGTCTTGCAATAAAAATTTGCAGGATTACGGTCAGAATTTGCATCTAGAACTCCAAATTGCTATATTGAGTTGGCTAAATAATGCATGGATGCTGATCCACAAAAACGGTCTAATGCTTTGAATGTCTAGAATGTCTATAACAAACTTTATAAATGGTATAATATAATGCAAAGTTCAGATGAAGCAAATGATTCAGATTTAGATGATGTTAGAATTAAAAAGCAATATTAGAAGCAGATAAAGTAATCAAAGATTATCTGCCTAGCTCATCCAAATAGATAACCAGCATTATCCTAAAATGCCTCAACATTAGGCATAACAAGTTTACAGCCTGAAAAGTATAGACATTTTAGTAAAAAATAACAGATAAAGGGCAAGTTTATTGACAAGAAAGATTTTTTGATAAAGAAATTGGTAGAAAAGAAAAAAAAGATAAAAGTTTTATAGATCAAAATACAAAAAAATTTGACAGAACAAATGACTAATATTCTTAACAACAATAAACCTATTACAGAACCTATCAATCTGGGTTATTTCACAAATCTATTACAAAGCTCTTGAATTACAAGATTTTTGCAATTAAGTACAATACTTAAATATTATTATCTGTGAAACTAATAGTATTACTCTTATTCTTAATATGTAAACCTTATACATATTACCAATGATAATCTATTGACAAAAATAAAAATAGATCTGTTCAATAAAATACCAAATCAGATTTTTTTTGTAACAGTACCAATGATCATCATATCAGTATAGAAAAATTGCTACATTAAGATCACTGATCCATACCAATTAGTTACCAGCTTCTCTAACTATAACTGGATACACTGTTTAGCTTATGGCTATCATTTAGGAACTCTATTAGTAGAAAAATTAGATCTTAATAAGTTTATAAAGACAAGTGAAATAAGGTCTAAACTTGAACCTATTAATTGTTCAGAACTATTAATTATGAATAAATAAATTGAACAAAGAAACTGACTCTAAAACATATTGGTGATATGAATGGAGTCAAGATTAATTAATTATTTAACTTTTTGTATAGTACAAAAGTTATAAAAATTTTATGAAACAAAATTTTTAAGAAGGGAAAAATATTACAAAGTAGATTTATAATATAGCATAGTATATAATAGTATTAGTAGTTATATATTTATTATTGTATTTTATATATTATATTTATTATTAGTTATTAGTTAGCTAATAATTATATTATATAGTAAATAGATAAAAGGATCTTAATTAACTATTAGAAATATGATACAACTATATAACATTAAATAATATCTATGATATTACTATCAATTTACAAATCCCAAATACTCTTATATAAGTTTCATGTATTCTAGTATTAAATTACTGTACCAAGTGTTGCAATATAAGAATCTCAACTATCCTTGATATAACCTCAAATGTTCTTACTAAATTTCAAGTATCATTATACAAATTCTATATATCTTTGTACAAATTCAAGTATCTAAACACAAATAACAAAAGATATAAATAATATTTCTAGTTTCTCTGTACAATTTCTACTATCTCATGTACAGTATTGTTCAAACCTTTACTATCTAAGTACAATAATATCTAATGTTGTTCAAATTTCCACTATCTCAAGTACAGTATCAAGTAATATTACTCAAATCTCCACTATCTCTACTAGGTAAAAAGATATATAAAAGGTACTTTTCTCTCTTCTCTACAAATTCTAAGTTCCTATACTTTGACCTAATTTGTAAAAATAACATTTCCCTTCTAGGGTAATTTTTACTGACAAAGTTATCATTATATGTTTGTTTAATAAAATTGATCTATATACTGTTACTATCTCAAACTGTTTGCCTGAAGTTGTTAGTAATTTATCTTTCTTTTCACTATTGCTCACTTTGTGTTAAGTCTGACTCTATCCTTTCCATTCCCTTCCTAATATCATCTTTGTTCTTTCTTGTTCTTTTAGCAATTGTTTAAAATTTTTAACTAGTAAGCCCTGTATTGGTAAGGAAAGGCTCCGCGGCTGATCAGACAGTGCAAGGACCTCTTAGTTAGGCTCCGCAACTGCTTCGGCAGTGCAAGCACCTTATAATCGGGCTTCACGGCTGCATTGGCAGTTCAAGTACCTGTGCAGTACATATTTAGGGCATTCGAAAGTTTATTTCTTTAATGCTATTACTGTTATACCCGATTCTCTTTTTTGCTATAAAGGCTTACAATAGTTATGGACTTAAACGTTTAGATTTCTATAGTATATGTCCAGGTTAATGAGCTTGTGATTACATGTTTCCTTAGTCGGATTAAATGGTACAGTAATGCCTTGGGATGACGGACACGTTTAGATTTCTATAGTGAATGACCAGCGTAGTGAGCTTGTGGTTACGCATTTTCTTAGTCCGATTATATGATACAGTTGGGTCCTGAGATAGCGGACCTACCTCCATATGTTTTTTTCATCTAGATAAGTTTCTGATCGAACAATAATAATAGTATTTCATTTAGCAATTCAGACTATTGATTCTTTTTAATCAACTGGATATCGTTTACCGTCAAAATTCAGTTAATAAGAATGATTTAGATAAACTCTTCTAGCTTGTTTATTGTTACAAACATGAGATTGGAGTAAAAACAGAATAAGTCATTCATTGATTAACATAGATGAATAATCCTAATAAATATATCAAGTTGGTTCGGAAATTGAGAAGATCCGCGCTTAAATAATAACCTAATTGTTGTCCGGTTGCGAGATTATGTAATGATTTTTAACGAGCATGAGAATAATATATTTACGTATACTGAATATTTGCCAAAAAAAAAAAAAACCACATTACAAACCCGAAAGCGGACAATATACAATTTCGTGCAAATTTGATCAAAGCTAATTTAATCAGTGCACCAATGTCGATCTAAACATTAATTTGCTTTCATTGCTTATATTTTTCTCACATGTTCACAACATTTCATGATACATACGTATCTGTATGTACGTTATATTTAACACTAATTTGTTTCCGAATATCCAATATGAAATAATGCATAAAGTATTGGCCAAATTATGGAATTTTTCAAAGGGCATCATGTACTTCTACGGAGTAATATATCCGACCATCAGATTATATAAATTCTCACAAATACATAGGAAGAAACTTAATTAAAGGTGTAAATTCGATAACAAGACTCATCTTGACATAAAATTGCTGAGTGCAAAATATAATTAACAATTCATCTAGTATATTAAAGATCTTTGCGAAAACATTGACGGGGAAAACTTTGACTCTAGAGATAGAGTCGAGTGATACAATTGTCCGAATTAAACCAGGGATACAAGATAAAGAATCCATCCCCCGAACAACAACGTATTATTTTCGCTGGCAAGCAATTAGAAGATGGAGATGGCAAACCTTGTCAGACTATGGCGTCAAAAAAGAGTCTACGTTGTCTCTTATACTAAAATTACATGGTGTAATGTTTCATGAAACCAGCGGCCGCAAGGATTTAATAAATTACCACCACTCCCTCAACCTAAAGATCGCACAATTCCTGAAAGCACTGTTGCTGTTACTCCAAAACTTCCAACCACAAGAGTAGAGTTACTAGCATTGCTACGTGAGGAAGAACGGCGAAGGATGTCATGTGAATTACAAGAATTATATCGTAAAGTCGGTAATGATCCTACATGTGGCAAAGATTGGATGGATATTACTGATCAAATGCAACATGATTTGGTTCGAGAATTTGGCTATTCAGATGAGGCACAACTAATTCGACGTGCACCACAACTTTATCCAAGTGACAAAAATATCTAACACATATTTGTGTTTAAAATTTATTATATGTAGTAATTCTTTAAATTGATTTTCATTTACTGCACAGATGACCCTGCGTTTCGTACCACTCAATTATATGTTCGTAATAACATAGCACGCATTGGAAACCTTAAAGAAGGTATGGAAACACCAGATTGTCCTCTTATTCCTGTGAAATATTCTGACACAACGGTCCCAAATTTATCACGGGATTAAATATTGATACTAATTCACTTTGTCGATCAAGACGGCCTCTAGTTCTCCTTGTTGGATCTCATACCTGTCCTTTATATCTCATGTGCTTAATTATATATATGATCGATATTGGGCACGTGCTAATTTCTATATGATACAAATTAGGGAAGCTCATGCTAGTGATGTTTGGCCTATTGGTAATATTGTAGATGTCAAATAGCATAAAACATTATCTGATCGTTTAGCTGCTGCTGATGAAATGGTTAAAGCAACAAAACTAAAAATTCCATATTAGCAAATACAATGAAAAATATTTTCTTAAAATTATATTGCCCTTGGCCATTCCGTTTTTTTCGTCGTTGTGTATAGTATTTTAAATTTGTTGGAATGCCAAAAGAGGTTTGTTATGATTAGGGATGTCAACGGTCGGTTTCGGTCGGTCACGGTCGGTTTCGGTCGGTCACGGTCGGTTTCGGTCGGTCATCATCGGTCATGAGTCATGACCGAACCGACCGCGGTCATGACCGATGGGTAATTTAAAATTTTAATATCCAGCATTATTTAATTAATATTAGTTAATTTAAGTTACCGCATTCACCGTAATAAGCACTGTCCCCTCTGCCTATTTTATTAAATGTCAGATTAGTGGAAACAACTTTGTTAAATATCTCATTGTGATCTCCGCTAATCTGTTATTTTAAAAAATGAGGTAGAGGAATGGTTCTTATTTACGATAGAATACGATAAAGCTTTTTTTGATTTAGAGTTAATAAGCTAATGCGGAATAAATTTATATTTAAATTATATAATCTGTAATAATATAATATATAGTTAATAATGTAATATGTTTTATAGAATAAATTTAATTCAATAATAGAGATTGAAAAAAAATATAAATATAATAAATATAAATTGTTGTCAATCATTATTTCCAAGTATAATCGATATACGATATATGAATATTTATTAAATATCATTTAACTAATTGGTTAAAGTTGTATATAACAATAATTTCAGCACAATACTTATAATCAAACCTATTTTTGTATCATGATAATTATTTTACAGATTAAATAACAAAATATAGTATCGGTCAAACGGTCGGTTCGGTCGGTCAGGATTTGTGACCGAACTGGTATCGTTCACGGTCATGACCGGTCATGACCGAACCGTTGACATCCCTAGTCAGTAGTGTCCTTCGGATAATAATTGGTTAATTTCTTTGTGTCAACTTTACAGATCTGTAAATTAGTTTATAAATAATAAATCAGTGAGAGGGATTTTTCAAATAATTATTTGTTATAAAGTTATTAGATATCAACAACTGCTAAAAATTTGATACTTTTTGCTGTCTGGTACTGTACAGTTTTATAATTCATTTTAAATCTGTTCGCGATTATCATTTAGTAATTAAGTTTAGAATATGTCTAACTGCTTCTCTGAACTAATGATAGAGGGTTTGTCTTTTATATAACAATTAAGAAGTCCTTCCCTTTAAAAAAAACTATTCTATTGTTGCCCAATTTCCGGAGAACTAAAATTAATTTTGACGGATACAAACAATAATTTTTGTAAAATTAATTCTTGGTTCTCTGGAATTGTGACTCCAAATAACGACCCGGGCGCATATTTAAAAAATAATGATAAATAATGATAAAAAAAAAAAAAACACAAAAAGTAAATTTTGAACAATAGGTTTGAAATCAAATCGCCGGAGAATTGTAAGGTCGAAATACCATGTAATACCATGTAACTGTGCCCTCGATTGGCGGTAACGCTGGAACTGTTCTGGTCATTGTCGTTATGGTCATGTTTAGAATTAGAGTTAAGTTTAGTGTAATTTTAAAAAACTTGTCAGTAAAATGAAATAATTGATTTTCAGTAAAATGGTATTTATTTTTGCTCTATTAATAAAATGGTTGTCAGTATTACGACTTCACGTTTGTCATTGCCTACAGTACTCAGAGTCTTATTCATAGAACTCTATTTTTAAAAGTAAATAGTACCCGTGGGTACTGTGTGAAGAACCGGGTACTATATTTGGAGATATATTATATTAAGGTGGTAAATTAATATAGTTGTACCCCCGGTATTAGTAATAAAAATATCCTGATCCGTTGGGTATTAGCGGAAACGAAGTTTCCGCTTGTACACATACGGTCAGGGTATTTTTGCTAAATACCCAGTGATCTTGATATAGTGATCGGGGTATTTTTCAAGTAACAGCCAATAGTGGTGGTGAATAATACCTGGGTCTTAATCATGAGGATATTATTTTGTAGGATGTTGTAGGCATCAAAGGTTTCAAACTCCAGAACTCTAGGAATTATCTTTACATACACAATATAATAATAACTACTAATTATCGCCACTATTGCTATTTTACTAGGACTACTGGTAATTATAATGATTAACATAATGTTATTTATTTAAAGAATTGCAATAATCCCTTTAAAGCCAATTCTTTAGAATTTTTGGAATTCGTACTACGTTGAGAGCCGCAATATCTCCATAGTGGTAATTTTCACTTTTACAAAGTACGTACGTACGTACAAAATTAATATTCACATATCTTTGTAGAATCATTGTGACCTCCTTTTAGAAAATTATAAGCTATCGATTATGAAGTTTTGCAACAATTTATACTTGTATCACATTAAATAATTAGAAACAATTCTATTTTAAGAATCAATATCGAATTTCCCAATTTTTTTAAAAAATAAACGTAAGCAGCGACAATACTCATGTAATTGATTGTTATTATATATTGTATTACGTTCATAAACATTATTATTATAAAGAAATAATAATCGAATGTTAACCTAAGTTAATATTTAACTTGTATCATATGGGATGCCGTCAATAGAAATCAGGCAGATTGACATAATGAAGCCAACTGAAAAATCAATTAACATAATCGGATTCTTAAAATTAAAAATATTGATATCGAATCGAATGTCTTCATAAAATATAGCACGTACTTAAAAATGTAACTTAATCTCGATTTTGGACTGTGTACTGATCATGTGCATTAATTTAATTTAATACTGCATGTGCAACTTAAAATAATTTAATAATCTATTGTGTACTAAAAATTTCCACTAAACATTAATTGGAATTTGATCATGTTCATTAACACGATTCTCATTTTACTTGTTATCATAAATGTTGGAGATGCTTATTATTCACCACAAGGATTACCACTTAGGTCGAATACCGCAAACTTTCTCATCGGTGATAGGATATTTTATACTGGAGGAGGCGTTTCAACTGATCTGTTTTACCTTGAACTTGGTCAGGGGCCGTTCAAACTCACGGATCCACCATTTTATCTTATAAGAACAGATATGCCAAACTTATATGTAGAGTTTTATGGAAATGCTGTAGTAATTGACCAAACCGCCTTCATATTTATGACAAATGATGATGTGAGTAATCATTAAATATAATGCACAATGGTTTTCCAATTAATACAGATTTCCTTTATCGTTGTGAATGGTAGTATAATTTTATCAAAATCAGTATTAGCCCAAACCCAGTATCATATGTACGCATAAAACGTAACGAAACGCAAAATTCTAACCTTTCTCCCGGCCGAGGAAGACCTCGGACTGTGGTGGATAAAAATGGATTGATATACATGTGGTTTACTCCTGATAAATATTCTAGTATTGATAATGCAGATGAAAATTTATACATATTTGATTCGGTTAAATATAGTTGGTAAGAAATTTAACTGCTTACTAAAAATAATGGAGTATGGTTGCTTGAACAATTCTATTGCGCAGGTCTACAGTCAAGCCTCCAATGCTCATTAAAGAACCAAACACAGCTGTAATTTTGTCCGATGGACGTATTATTTTTACCACGAGTTATTACAACGTGAGTATTATATCATATTTAACATATGAGGGTGAGTCAATAGAAATCAAGCAAATTTTTTATAATAAATTTTTTTTATAATTTTAAACAAGAATAACTTAACAAACAAAAACTTGACCAAATTTAATGAAACTTTTTTTAAATAAATTTTACAAACTTGTAGAATTAATTTTATTGAATTGGATCAAGTTTTTATTAAGTTAAAATTTTTAAAAAACCTATTAAAAAATATTTGCTTGGTTTATATCTAAATCTGAAATTATATCCGATACCTAAATGTTTGAATAATCGAATACGGCACAAGGATTAATTAATGCGCATCTATTTTGCAAAAAAAAATCAACAACACGTAACTTAGATAATTATTGCTGTTTCGATTTAGTTTGTTTTTAAGTCTCGTGATCCTGTGGTTACAATATAAGTAGTCACAGTTTATGAATGCATAATGCCGGTCAGAATTAAGAAATAACTATTTAAAATTTAACGGATATCCGGATATCTGTATTCTTTATAATGATTTTGTTATAAAATTAAACTGGCAGATATCTCTAATGAAAAGAACATAAATATTCTGAAGCCAGAATAAGAAGTGGGGTAATATGCGCGGTAGATTCAAAAAATCGTACGTTCCTGGTTGTGACTTCAACTTTGTTATATTTTGTGGAGCGCGTATGACAGGATATATTCACGATCAACAAAATTAAGAAAAACTTATATTAAAAAAAGTCGTTTACTATCACCTATAAATCACATGATATTTGCTACTTTATATTAACATCTTGACCTTTTAAACAGGATTTAAATTTGGTTGTTATTTATGATACTGTGAAAGGTTTATGGTATAATCAGGTTTGTGTAATTTTTATATTTGACTTGAACATATGTGATTATTTTATTTAGTTCAACTTAATATTTATTTAGTCGACAACGGGAACTATTGAATTTGGCTTCGAATGCATAGATAGACAGCTTTGTGAGTAAAACTTCAAGCTTTTTAATAATTAGTTATTTACACCTCATTAACATATTATTATCTTTTAAAAAAAAAGATAATAACCAAATATTGTGCCTCGATATGTGGACTAACAAGTTTAATGTGCTAGATATCTCTTCATTTACTTGGTCCGTACATAATATTTCGGATCCGTCCAATAGTGTTACTCCACTCCTTCCCATTGTGAACCCAGGTGCAATAAATGTATATAAAGATTGGATGATTTTTACTTTTTGTAAGTTGACAATTGCTTGCTTAATTTGAACCTATTTATTTTTTAGCATTAATTGACTCTTTTCTAAAGGTGCAGCTAGTACAAACGATCATCGATTGATGCTTGTAATTAGTTTGACAAATTATACCTGGATTAATAGTAATGGCATAATACCACTACTCCAAAATCCAAACGAATCTCTACCCCCGCAGAATGGTACTAAATATAACGGTTCCAATAGAATGCGTCATACAAATATATATTGGAATATTTGTGTTATATGGCTCATAAAATGTTTCTTAACACCTTTATTGCTATAAAACATGTTATTGATCTCTATCAATTCAGAATCGACATGTGTCATTTTTGAATTTCCACCGATCAAAGAATGGCTTAATAGTTAAATACCGATAATTTTAAAGATAAAAACAAATTTACTACACGTGTTATCTATATTTTCAAAACCGGTAAATACAGTGAAACCTCTATAAATGCAACCTCTCTAAATGCACGCTTAAATTCGGCCTAATATATACATGACCTCCATAAACGCACTTTTTCTTATTGTTCGCTAAGTGAACGTCATTAATATTTGGTCCCAAGAGCGTACACTTATGGAGGTTTTTTTACTGTAATAAACAGTGAATATGCATTTGTTATGTTTTAATAAATAGATAGTTTTTTTTTTATAAAAGTATTTCATGAATCTCCTTGAAAAAATGGATACATTATTTTTTTCGAAATGTGCATTTATTTGCTGTTAGATTTTTGTATTCATTATATTTACTAAAAGTTAAATCCTAATAATTTAAATTCAAATTATTCTCTTGTTATATAGGTTTAATAAACTGAATGTGAAATAGTTAGTACATAACTACATCAATTTCAATCGATTATGTAAATATGAATTTAACTATTTGATGAATAATATAGCTGAGATGTTAAAGAATCTGAAACTAAATTAGAAGTTGTAAAAAATTATAAATAAAAACCTTCACAAGGTACAATATAATTTTAAATTATTAATTATATTTACATAAAAGTTATCGAATATACATGTATTCAGGCACATAGTCTTGTAATCTTCTAGAAAAGTCTTGATTTTGCACAAAAAAAGATGGTAAATTGGCTGGAAATGAGGAAAGCAAGGCGAAAGCCTTTAAAGTGCTACCGCGCTTCTCTATCGAATTTTCGGAATTCACTCTGATCCAAATTTTAGGTTCAATAACCAGAATTGAGCCTATATTAAGATCAACGTTTGGATACCTGATTCTTGGTTTAAGTATAATAAAAGACTTTTAATAGAATACATAGCCTCTTAAAAAATAGGTTAGAAAGTAATAATTATTATGTGTCGAATAACATCATAAATATGTAAATTAATAATAAGTAGTTTATCAGTTAAAAAATAAGGATTATTTTGTATCATCAAATATATGTCATCGTATCGTAAAGAAAATGTCCGGGCTATCTAGCTTCGTAATTAAATATTCAACTGATCTAAAATAATTTTTTCCTTAAAAATTATTATCCTACTAATTTACTTATTCACAGTTACTCTATATAAGTCGTCAAGGATACGGCTCTTAATTACTCAGGGAAAGGTCTGTTCGGCCTCGATGCTTACTTCCTTTATGTTAACCAAGAGACCTAGCGTATACTTATAAACAAACGTAGAAGAATCGATGAATTAATTTAGTTGGTTTAAGGTAATTTAATACTTTTGTGAAAAGTTCATGAAGTTTAAGGTAAAGTAATAGCAGATTTATTTATTGAGAACTTTTTATTAGGAACTTCATTCGTAACTGGTCCTTTTGGGAAGGCAAAAAGGACCTATATTTATACAATTTTGTTCGTGAAGGCTAAATAACTCTATATGACTAGTTTTAATATTTCGTGAGCAGTCGCTCAGTTTGTGATTAAACTATCCTAATGTAGCACGAAGCCACAATGCTTATATCACTAATCTAAGGCAACACGAACGGTTCTTAAACGTAAACAAAGGTATGAGCAGGAAGAATTACAAATAAATACTATATACAGGTATAATTGAAATAATAAAAGACTATAATAAATAAATAATATAAAGGAAAGCCCCGTGTCTTGGAACGGGACACCAATTTACATTCCAAAATTGTATATTGGATCATAAGACTGGTTCTTGTGTTAGATGTAGTAGAAACAAATTGACAGGATATATTTTTGTTTTGCAAAATATTGAGGACCAGGGTTTAAATTTTGATATGGAACATATTATATAAAAACCTTGTTCTTAGGTCTTTAATTTAGACCCTAACCTAAACCAAATTTAAACCAAACTTTACTATCTCTAGATGCCTCTAGCATGATAGAAGTTTGTTTTAATTGGTGTGATTTACCCATGATCACCCATGATAATTGACTAATAAAATTAGATTATTCTAAAATTTTCATCGCTCTAATACTGTAATATTGTAATATGCTACTAAAAAAAACAAAAAAAAATTTATATAAAAAAATTTTACAAGCAAATATATATAAAATATTTTTTACATATTTTTAAAAAATAGGTAGATACGATAAATACGATATTTATTATTATTATATTATTAAACTCAAATAATTAAAAATTTATACAATATAGTAATATATAAACCGAAACTTTAAGTTTACAGTTAACAAACTTAGAACACACAAAAACCAACCAAATCTAAATATTAAATGCTAATTTCTCGCAACTAAAGGGCTTGTATTTATTTAAACTAAACAGTTAGTAATAAAAGTTTATTCGAATCTAACATAATAAAGCAGCTTAAACGACAAAACATTTCTGATTACCTTAATCAATATAACTTCGCCGCGTTCAATAAGTATAATAACCAGAATTGGATATGGATCAGAGATCGGATAATGACGGAATGACCACTGGGTGCGAAGCAGAAAGTGTGCCATTCTGTCATTATCCGATCACCGATCCACATTTAATTTTTGATTATTATCCGCTTACGTGGATAATAAGTGATAGTTATTTCACGTTCCTATATGATCGCATGACGGTGATTTTCGACTTATAATCACTGCTTTAATCAGTAAAAGCAACAATTTTAAAGTAATAGTTGTTATTATCTCGGGTGCACTTTAAATTTTTATATTATAATATTTGAAGAAAATTCTTTTAGCTTACATAATGGTTTTTTTTACGAAAGTTTTAAAATCCATTAGCCATTACAATAGTACTACTTAAATTAAGATCTTAAAATTCATGATAGTTATAATTCTCTTAGTCAGCGTAATAGTATCATTATAATTAAAGATGAAGTTTTTTTAAATCCCGTTAATATGATTGTGTTATTAAAGCAAAAATTAGGTTCGCAATTAACTTTCTATAGCCATTTTTTTTGTCGTGCTAACTAAAGTTATTTAAGTCGAAAAACGCCGTCATTGCATTATATAAAACGAAGAATAACACCCTTATTTCCAGCTACGAGGGAATAAACCGGTAAATCTCAATCAACCGGGGGCCCGAAGAGCTGCGGGAAATAAATAGCACGTATTTTCTTAAATACTTCGGGTAATACATTTGAATTAACTAAAATAACTGGTAAAAATTTTACACATTTCTTTGTTTTTACGTATAAGTGAATTACTTTTTCCTATTTAATCTATAGAGATCTGAAAAAACTTCAAACAATACTTAGAAATTGAATTATGTATTTGTAAAAAAAAATTATCAGGTTATACGAACAACTGGAAAAAGGATTTTTGTACGACTTCATTTGACAAATATTATAATGCATGATCAACTATTTAATCTGACGATCTGATCAACAACCAATTAAATCATGCTATCGCCTCCCGTATGGCATTATATAATTCATCCGCAGCATCCGTATCAGGAAGCTATCAAAAATGAAACCAAATAAGAAAAAACAATAAGAAAAAAAAAATTCGAATTATTTTAGTAGATAATTTCGAACAAACCTTAATAGCAAAATGAACGGGAGTAGTGCTAGTTCCTTCAAATGCGAAAATTCTTACAAACTTTTCTTGTGATCTTTCGACGCTCATTCCGTGAAATAAAGCAATATTTAAGATCACTCGCAGCACAACGTCTGTACGCATGACTAAATTGCGGTATAATAATAGTATTTTAAATAAACATTTCATAATAATAATATAATACATAACAATAAAATAAATAAACAAACTTAGTCGAGGTGATTTTTCACGGTCCTTTGGATAATTAAGTTTTAAGATTCCAACACCTCGTTCTTTCCATTGATTTTCGCTGTCCAGATAAAATAATTTTGCTTTGATCGCATGTCGCGTAGTCTCATTTTCTTCGCCAGTAATTACTACAAAGAAAATTATTATTATAATTTTGTACTAATTAAACAAAATTAAATTTCAACTAACCTTCTTGTTCTTTCAATAATGAAGTTGAACCAGATATAATAGTCACTTCGTAGTCTTCATCACCATCATCATCATCATTGTCATCATTATCATCGCGAAGCTTATTAAAAACAGTTGGTTTTGATCCAAATACAGTTGATGCGGAGGAACTGAAGTATTTAGCGAAACCAAAGGGCTACAGATAAATTAAGGTTGATTAATTACTATTTATAACAAAAAGAAAATAATTTGCGTAAATAATTTATGTATCTATTAATAAATAGTAATAAATGTACCTTGCTTTCTACGTTATGTACGTTGATCTCTACATTTCTCTCTGCACTGCTCTCTACCTGGGTCTCTACCTGGGTCTCTACCTTGCTCTCTACATTGCTCTCTACTTTTAACTTTCGGTACCATCGACGGAGGTTATGTTTCCTGTAGTTGTGTTTTTTAGGCATATTAAAGTTGATTCAAATAAAAGAGAAATTAATTTTTCAATTGAAACTGCGTCGACGGTTTATAAATTTATCACGAGGTAGATTTTGGGAACCGGTTTTAAACAGGGTTAACATATGGAAAATAAATCCGGTATCACAAATTTAAAAGTTTAAGCGAGGCGGTTGCGATTTTGCACGACTAAGGCAACTAGCGAGTGCGTTACAAGGTAATTCAAAGAGCATTTGGTTTCTTAATTGGTATTGGTCTTTTATTTTGATCGGTTATTGAAAGTATTTTATTAATTATTTATGAAGGGCAAGAATTGCACACCCCATATTCATAAGAAAGTTTACAGGAAGAAAAGAAGGGGATTTGAACACTTCTAATATGGCTTTGACACACTTTTCTCATTTACATAAGCCATTTACCATTTCTAACTAACACTTTCTTCCCTTTTACAGCCCAGCCTTCGTTCCAATAGCATTTTATTTCATCATCATTATTTTTTTTTCATTGAGTTTCACTCCAACGACCCAACATATGACGACACATGTACACAGGTGTCAAACTAATTCGGGAAGGAGGCTTGGATCAAGATCGACATCGCTATTATTTCGAGAGGTTTCACAGCGTCATCGTTAATTCAGGCTTGGACGTTTGCTACAAGAGGTTGTCATTCACCTTCATCGCAGTACGTTTGGTAGAGGGGAAGTCTTGGGGTTTCAATTTGCCTGTCACACCACATTTCCTTTTAGATAAAATGGATAATTGCCATAACTGTACTAGTGTATTACCATATAATGCCTAATTAGTAAAATGTTCAGATACCCAAAAAACCTTATGCTAGCCCAAAAAAACATAAACACCATAAACACTATAAGTACATTTTATAAAACGTAAACCTCAGAAAATAAAGGGTATATAGTAAATTAGTACGGTACGGAAACGCAAATTGGGATAGTATGTACAGTTTGTAAAAGAAAACAAATTCTTTTCAACAAAGCTAATTTTCCTATAACCTCACACAAAGAAAGAACAATGCTCACATTTGCCTTAATACTAAACACAATGATATGACAAATGTTCAGTGTGACGAGTAAGCATTGGCTAAATAATTATATTAACTAATGCTTATTAGCCAAACCCAATGATTCGTCACATCCTTGTGCCAAACAAATAATGGACTTATAAAAATTAATTTTACAAAAACCTAAGTTAACCATACATACTATCAATATTTTACTCAATTTTCGTTCGTCCGTACATATTTGTACAATCATACAGTACTACTTTACTAACTACCTGAAAATAAACACCACACCCTCTATTCAACTTTTTTTCAAACTCAATAAAGTCTTTATTCTATTTCGAGATTGAAAAATGATTGACGTAACAATACGTAGCAATAGCACGCCTGTAATCTGTGACAGGTTAAGTCACTGATTTCAGTTACCGTCCGACTATGCCTTAAATTATGGTAAAAAGCTCGTGTCAGCTAGCCGTCTGTAGAAAATCTATCATGGTAGATGTTCCATAAACGGCTAACTGTACACGAAATATAATCGAATGTCCGATAACAGGTTTTCCCTTATTGTTACAAAGTTAAAGTTGAATATATAAAAAACAATTTGATCGTATTTGATTATATTTTATTTTTTTTGTGATTTTATAAATTAAAAAAAAATTTTTTTATCTAACATAAGTAAATTGTGCAAATTAAAAGTTTGGATGACCTATGGCTTCTAATAAGACTTACTATAAAAGAGAACTAATTTATAATAAAGTTTATAAAAAAAAATTAATGTAAAAGATCCTTCAAATATCTTACAAGTTATACAATTTTGGATATATTTTTAAAAAAACTTATAGAACAGAATTAAAAAAAATAGATGAGAATGATATTTCTAGAATTATTTTATTTTTAATTATTAATTTAAACTGTCAAAATATTAGGCCAACATTATAAATCATTAAAAATATTGCAAAAATATAATTTTATAAATAAATAATATGAAAAGAAAAAGAATTTAGCTTTTTGAGTTATTTTATTTAAAAAAATGTAGAATTAAGTAAAAAAAACTTTTAAATAAAAATGTATTGAACAATAGAATGATTAAAAAATTCTTTATAATTTGTTTTACTTAAAGTAATTATAATATACTAGTAAATATTTTATAATATTTATTATTTTAATTTTAAAACTTTTTTTTTATATAAATATTATTATTTTTTTTCTTAAGCAGCCATGCTAGTACTTTATTAAAATTTTTGGAATTACTTTTGCAATTACATAATATACTTAACAACTAAGTCTAGTATCACCTAGTCATCCTATTGACACCAAGTGCAACCTGTTATATTACTTCAAACAGAACTAAACTGCTTAATTGACTACTTAAAGTCCATAATGACAGGGTCTTCTCTCTTTTATAACAAGCTTTTAAATTGTCTTTCTAACTTCATTTTTGATTCATTTTTTATTTTCTTTTGTTTTCTTTTTTCTCTCTTCTATTTTTTGCTAACTAGTCTTTTTCTTTTTACTTGAATTCTTATTCTTTTTTAATATTTCTTTTTTTGCTTTCCTTATTATTTCTCTTTCTATTTCTTATATATTAACTTTATTACAATATATTTTTGTATTCTTTAGACTTGCTTATAAAAAGTGGTTCAGGTTGTTTTTGTTATTGTGTTTAAAAAATGTTATCCTGTTTTTATGTTCAAAAGTTGTGCTAATTTGTCTTGTATAGTTCTTGGAATTAAATCCTTAATTAGTGTTTTTCTTATTTTTATTTTTTCTATTCTATTTTTCTAAAAAGTATTATATATAGTATATAAGATAGAACTTGAATTTTTCTTCTTTTTTTAATCCTTTTTATATAGTTATAATAAATATTTTTTGTATCCTTTTTCAAAGACTTGTTTGTCCCTTACATAATGCCAGGTGTTTTTGTATTTCTTTAACTTTTCTTTGGCAAATTTGGTATTTTGTAGTTTTATATATTTTTGGTCTTCTTCTGTTAAGTTTTTCTAAGGTCAGAAGGTTGTTCAATATATATTTTATAAAAGCACTTCTTGCACTGCTTCTTCTTGTTATACAATGTACTCTTTTAAATAATTTTAATATTTTTCAAAAATATATCTAATTATAAATTAGTACTTCTGTTACTGATTCTAGGTTTTTGATTACTGTTGTTTCTTTTTACTTTCTTTTTACTCTACTCCAGTTTGGTATTTGTTACAATTTTATATAGAAGTCTTACTAGTATATTTATTTGTTTATTTTTTCATTCAAGACAGTACTTTATCTCTTTATAATTGACTTCTTCTAAGTATATTATCTTTTTACTTGATGTTCTCTTCTTCATAAAACTATTAACTTTGTTATTCATTTGTTTTTATTATGACTCTTTACTTTAAATCACTTTATCTGTATATTTTTTGTTCTAACTAGATCAATTATCTTTACTATTCATAGAGCATTTTTCTTTTTGAGAATTCTATTTTTATTTATGCACTCTAAATCCTTATTAATATTTCTAATTGCTATATTACTATTCATAAATATTTTTAGTTTGTAAATATCTAAAAAGTAACTAAGTCACTTATAATATCTTAATAAAAGAGCGTCACCTGCGCCCCTAGTTGTAATGACAACAGGGATATTCAAAAAAAAAAAAATTTTTAGTTTTTTCTTTTTTAGTATTATCAGAATTGTGTTTATATTACTAATATCTTAGCTGTAGTAAATGTTATTCATTTTTTCAATTCTAATATTATATCTTCTTCTGATTAATATTGTGCCTTGTTTGTTTATATTTATTCTATATCCTACTGTCTCTTTTTTCTTTATTGTATTTGTTGCACCATCTGCATATATTATATATTTGTTCTTGTTTCTTAATATTTTTTTTCAAAATCTTTACAATTTTTTTTATTTAATATTCTTTTTTAACTTTTGTTTCTTATTAATTCTATTTCTAAACCTTTTATTATTTTAAGTCTTATTAGCTTTTGTTTATTTTTTCTTCATTCTTTTGTTTTTGCATATTCTATTAATTAATCTGTAGCTATCTTGATTATATTATTACTTTTTTCTATTAGCATATCTGAGATTATGTTTATTTTGTTATTAATTCTTATCTAATATTGACAGCTATTTTCTATAGTTTTTTCTTTTTTTTGAACACCTCTCACATTTATTAATTTTGGTTACTAAATTATTCTCTTTATTTTGCATTTACTAATATTCTATTAGAATTTTTTTTTTCTTTTGAACTATTTTCTCTAGTTGTCTAACATATTTTGCATTATATACTATTCACTTTCTCTTTCTTCTGTCTTTTGATAATGTTTTCTATTTAATCTTTATTGTCTATATATTATGTTTATCTGTCTTGAAGTACTCTTTGACCTCTCTGTTTTCTGAACTGTTAAGCATTTTTGTTTCTATTATTTTAAACTGTTTTGCTTTTTTGTTTTTACTTAATTGTTTTTAATAATTTTTGAATTGTTACTATATCATTAGCCTTTTACCTTTTGCATCAAGTAGTTGATTTATATATATTAATTCTGTTTTACTTATTTTAATACTACTTTTTTCTATAGTTATGTTTTAGTTAGTTTACATATTGTATAATTTAAACCACATGTTGTCTATAGTTTACTTTTTGTACTTATATTTATTTCTAGCTCTTTTGCTTTAACTATTATTAGACAGACTAAATTGGTTTTTTAAGATAATATATCTTTTGGCAATTTTTTTAGTTTCTATATGTTTTCTATTAATTTTGCTTTTTGGCAGCCTTGTATTATTCTTAATTTTATTAATTGTCTCAATTCATCTTTTTTATTTAGTTTTGTTATTAAACTTTCTATTTGCTTTATTACCAATTCTTATTATAAGGTTTACAACTACTAAGGTTCTTATACTCTATTATATAATTTTTTAATATTTTTGGCAGATTGCTTTTTTGTTTTAT